CCCCCCCCCACTAAACAAAAATGAAAACACTAGGAAAGTATAGAAATATTTTTTTAATGGTAAAAATACCAGCAATACATTTATAAAAATAAAAAAAAATTACCACCAATACATTTTTATAGTAAAACTGCTAACACTTTTTATAATAAAATAACCACCAATACATTTTTATAGCGAAATGACAATCAATACAGCACTAAAAGAGTAAAAAAAATAAATTTTTATAGTAAAATTACCAACAATACATTTTTGTAGTAAAATTACTAGCAATACATTTAAAAAAAGTACCAACTATACATTTTATCATCTACAAATTATATATCTAAAAAAAGAATATTTGCCCTGAAAGTATGAAATTATGTACAAAATATCAGTAGTTGAAGGCATAAAATTACATACAAAATATTTAGATTTTGGCATTAAATAACCCATAGAAGTTGATAGGTTACTAAACAAAACCAACCCAACCAAACCTTTCTGAATTTCTGGCATGCACATGATCACCTTCTGTCTGAATTTCTGGTATGAAGTGTTATCATTATCTACATTCAGACTAAAGTCCTCATCTTTGTTGTTATCAAGCCTTCTTCAGGTGCTTGTTGATCGGGGTAACCTTCAAGGAATTTCAAACTGAACCTTTTATTCAATTTATAGGGATAGATTGTTCTCACACCACTGTTCATATCTAGAGATATTGCGTCTCATTTTTTATTTAGCATTGCTCAGTTATTGCTCCTCTCCATAAGTCTACATGGTTCAGCCCATGGAGCACTAGTCTAATCTCTATCTATAAAAGGCAGGATGTGTGTGTGTGTGTGTAACGAATGCACAGCCGCAATTTTCGATGGATTTGCACCAAAATTTACATGCACATGCTCCAAGTGAGTGGGAAGGCCAAAACCGTCTTTGCATTTCCCAACTCCCATCAATAGTGGAAATAATCGATTTTTTCATGCTTCTATGGCAGTTTTCATGTAGTTTGCGGCCATTTTCTACTGGCCAGAGTGAGAGCCTATAGCTGGCTGCCACAAATAGGCAGGAAGATTCTATTGGCCAGCGTGAGAGCCAACAGCTGACTGACATGAATGTTAACTAGCATGCTAACATGCAAAAAAAATCGATGCATTCGTCACAAGTGGGAAAAATTTAAATCTGCATGACACTTTACTCCAATTGGTTCATTCGCTTGCTTAAACTCAATGTTGATTCTGATTTCGCAGCACTGGGTTGGGTGTGAAAAAGTATTTGTTGTTAACATTTTTTTTTTCATTTGGTTTTTCCAGTTGCGAGTCCTTTTTCAAAGCTGATTGTTTTGTGTTCATTTTGTTTAGTTCTTTTTTTGTAACAGATTTAATGTTTAGTATATTGCTTAGAAAAAATTTGCAGTGTGAGATAGGCAAGAAGTAAGGCATGTAGCAACTTCAGCATGGCAAAGGGCACTCCTTTAAAGGCAAGGAAGGGCAAAAATATTTTAAGTCAAGTGATAGCGATTGCTGTATGAGTCGTACAATTTTTGAATCAAGCACGGGCAACGCCGGGCCATGCTGCTAGTGGATTATGAATTTGGAGACATAACTGAGTTCAATCCCTAGGCTGGGTGGTGCAGACATAGACTATAGAAAAGCAAGACAAGCAATAACTGAGCAGTACTAAAGTAAGAACTAGACTGGATATCCCTAGACGTGAGAATGAGAACAATCTACTCCTGAACATTAAATAAAGGGTTCAGTTTGAAATTCCCCGAGGGTTAGCTGGATTGACAATCACCAGATAAAGGCTAGTGGGCTGGCTGAAATGTGATAACAGCAAAGATGAGAACATTAGTCCAAATGTAAAAATTATTTATAAATCTTACTGAAAAGTAAGAGTTTTGCATCAGATAATTCAGTATCGAAACATTGTTAGTAACAAATATTTATGTAAAGTTTTGTTTTGTGGTCCATGTTCATTTGTCAAAATTATTCCTGTAGCTTTGTCTGGCACAAGGTTATAATAGTAGAGCACCTGGAATACTAATGGCCTGTAAGACTAGTTTACTAACAACTGATCTAGGGAGAGGTGCACAACACAAAGTTCTCAGATTGGGAGACAACTTTGTCCAGATGAGTTACATTTCTTAGTTGTAGCAACTCCGAGCTTTGCAGCTAAGACCTGCCATATCATGTTCATGACAGTAGATCATCCCCATTCCTTCTGATGAGGAGTAAGTTCCACTCAAACAGCTCTTCCCCAGAACTGTTACTTTGTTGAACAAACTCCCAAGAGGATGCTTCCCTGACAACAACATTCAAGTCCAAGATCAACTGATATTTATCCTATATGTTCTTATTGTAGAGTAATTGGCTATGATTAAATGTCATTTGTAGATATGCCCAACAAACGATTGACAAAGATTCCAGTAAACAATAACAAAGGAAAATAAAGAACAGGGAAAAAGTAATACTAAGCAACAATATATACAAAACAAAAGTAGGCATAGCAACAGTAATAAGGCAAAATATTTCACAAAATAAGAATGGTGTTAAGACACAAAAGGAGAAACAGAGAAGCAAATGCAGCATTCTGACTTCAAGAGAAGAAAGAATAGAAACATGGCAGATGAGACCAAAAAGTGGCCTATCTTATTGGCTAAGAAGAAATCCCAGCATGCATCTGTATTGTTTATCTATAAATTTGGGGTGGGGGGATGTTTTTTGCAGACATTCCAATTCTGATTGGAACCAACACTTATGTGCACTTAATCCCCCCTTCCCCCCTTTCTTACAACAGCCTCACTCAGTAACCCTCTACCTTGAGTGGCTCTTAGGCCTTTCATTGATTGAAGTAACAGTAATAAAGTCATTTTTATAGGATTTTAAAATTGATTATAGATTTACTTGTTTTAAGTATAGAAATTGTAAAAATGATGACAAGGTGAATCAAAAGAAACAATCCGTTTTCTTTGTTAGGAAAAAGAATTTTATAAATTTTTTTTTACTTTCCTATTGTCCAAATATTGTATGTGTTTTTTAAATCAGAATTATCCTTTCTTTATGATAGAAAGAATTGAGGTTCTTTTTCTGGCATCTGTAAACCCTTGGGATATCATAGTGATTAAAGCTATAAGTTTGATTTTAATCTTTATAAGTTATTTAAGAAATGTGGCGTTTTGTCAATGTCAGTAAAACATGGTTGCTATTGTCATTTTGATTTTCCTTTTTTTTTTTTTTTTTTTTTTTTTTTTTCTCAAAAAAAGTTTTGTCTTTAATTTTGTTTGAAATTCCAATATGAAATATTTCCATTAATTTCAACAACCTACTTTGCTGGTTCCCAGAATGCATGAATTTAAGTGAGCTACCAGGCTGGCATCTCGGTCCCACCCTTTCACTGTCAAAACAGTTAAATGTAACTGTCTATTTTACTCAAACAGCTTCTTCTCTTGCACTTCCTGTCTGTGGAACTCCCTTCCCCTTACTTGTTTCCCCGATGACTATAATCTTCAAATATTCAAGTGTAATGTCAATCAACATCTGACACCCTGAACTTTTTCCCCATTCTTCTCTGTATCCTTTCCTCAAATATGCCTCTTTACTCTTGTTCTCAGTCCTCTGTAACCCCTTGTGTGCTAGTGGTACTCCTGCCTTGCTTGGGGTGAATTGCTTTAAAAAAAAAAAAATTCATGAGTTATTCAACCTAGTATCCTCACTTTTATTATTTTGATCACTGCTTAGAACAAAATAAAACCTATGTTGCATCAGAAATGTTGCTGGTAATTTTTATAACAGTGATTCTTAGGAGGAACTTAAAATCTTAGGGTAGGAATTTTATCCAGAGGAGAAATTGGTGGAAGAATTTTAGCCATATGTACAAATCATAAGTATAATGGTAAAACAAATTCCTCAAAGATGACAATTTGAAATAGAGGATGAATTGAGGAAATGCAGGATCACAAGTGAAGAAATGTGGCCCAGGATTCTGAGAACCTCTTTTAACAGAATCAATGGCCACAGTCTTGATTATTTTAAACTTTTACAAGACCTGTTAGAAAAATTCCTCACATCTGAATAAAGTAAAAATTTCTACCTTTTTTTTATGTTTGTGTTTGCTATGAGGGATTCTGTTCAAAGATTTTAGAAAATGATTGATATACACTTATGGGAAGACTGGGAAATGTACTAGCTGAAACTGAAATAGTGATGAGGAATCTGACTGAAACACTAAAATAACTAGTAAAATGGACGAACTTGTTTAATTGTTTATCCTTTCACTTTTATAGTTATCATGAAAGAGAAATAAAATAATTTGCTGAATGATCATTCATTGTTATCTCCCCTTCTCAGGTTTTTTTGATAATCCCACTTTTAGGTTTCTTGACTTGTAGATAAATTCAATTAGGAAGAAGAGTTCTTTTGTATTGTTCTTTGTTGTCAGTGATTGGATAAAACCATTATCAAACTGACTGGAAGTGGGACAAGACAGTTTTTTTTTTTTTTTTTTTTCTGCCAGGTATAAAAGTGATATCAACTGTCATGATTTCAATTTAATTTTTGTACTATTGTCTTTTTAATTGCATTGAATTCTATAATGGAGTTTTGTTCTTTTCATGCATTTTAATTGTTGTACCTATGAGATTTAATTCTTTATGATGATGAGGTTGACTGTAGTCTGGATCATCTAGTCAATTTGAATTCGGAATTGTCCTTCTCCTAGCTTATGATAGATATCCCTCCCCCACTTTTGTTTAGCAAAACTTCTATAAAGAGAGTAAATAAAAGATTGATCTTTGATTGATCCTTTTTTTATGGCTTATTAACCTTCTGCTAGTTATTTAAAGCCAAAAATATTTTTAGACTGTAAGAATTTTTTTTTTTTTTTTTTTAAAGATAATAATTTATTAGTGAAAAGCCTTACTAATTAACCCATAGCTGGGGAGAAGGGTATTTGGGCAAAAGTGAATATAACAAACCCAATTGGAATTCTTATTAACAATTCTGAGCCATTATCCATTACACTACATGATTAGCACCTGGTATTCACAAGCGGTCACCCATCTAGACACTGCCCAGGCTTGATGTTGCTTAACTTTGGTGATCATACAGGAACTGGTGTTTCAACATATGGCCATAACTTTTTAACTTTGAAAATGACCCTGTATTCATGCTCAGGGAATTGGGGACTTGAATCTACAACCTCTGGGTATCACTGTGTTTATGAGTTTGGGCTTTTACCAAAGTGTGGCTAAATAAATCACATGCTTTTTTTTTCTTTCTTTTTTTTCTTTCTTTTTTTTTTTTCTTTTTTTCTTCTTTTTTTCTTCTTCTTTTTTTCTTCTTCTTCTTTTTTTCTTCTTCTTCTTTTTTTCTTCTTCTTTTCTTCTTCTTTTTTTCTTCTTTTTTTCTTTCTTCTTTTTTTCTTTCTTCTTTTTTTCTTTCTTCTTTTTTTCTTCTTCTTCTTTTCTTCTTCTTTTCTTCTTTTTTCCTTCTTCTTCTTTTTTCCTTCTTTTTTTCTTCTTCTTTTTTCTTTCTTTTTTTCTCAAAATTGCCAGTAAAAATATATAAAAATGACACCAAATTACAGAGTTTAGCTATCCAAGAAAAGAAGGTTTAGGATGCAAGCTGAAAAAAAAATATTGGAGAGCGTTCTAGCTTTATGTGAAATATGGGTAAGATACAAAAAGGTCGAACTCAGATCTGTTATCATTTTTTTTTCCTGGGTACATACATTAACAAAACTATTTGACTATCAGAGACCTTGGAATCAATATTCTGCATATTGTTGACCATAATACACAGTACAGTGTGACTGGGAAATTAAGTAGTAAAGACACTTGTGTAATGGTTACTACATTACTGGGTGGTATATTTTGGAGGAATTTTATTTACAGATAAGGAATGGGAATTTAATTAATATTTTTGCAACATGACCCAAAATTTGAATAAAGTTGTTTGTAATTCAATAGCTCAAAAGCATGTAGAGTAACAGTATTAGTGAAAGACAATGGAATTCTTGGAGAAATGGTGGAGAAAACTATCAAAAACTCAAATTGTAACTTTGACGTGACTACTATCTTCTTGATTATTCTTCTATTGATCTCACTCCTTAATGTTTCTCTTTTTTTTCTTTTACACTCAGTAACCTCTTCTGTCTTAGTGGCTTTACTGCCTTGCGAGAGGTGAAATGACAAAAATAAACATGTGAGAGGACATTTGTAAAAGTGTATTCTTCCTGTCTGTCAGTGTGTTTTGGCAGATAAGATGTACACAATTATGATAGTGATTCTGAATCTATTGAGCAAAAACATCCAGTTTCTTCTACAGTGCTTACTAGAAGGAACATTGAACAAATTGAGTTATAAGTTAAAAATGTTGAACCAGATCATGAAGAGGATGCAGTTGAGGTGGAACCATAAACAGGTTTATAAACCAGACACAAAAGACATTGAGCTTTCTAAACTTGGACAAGCAATAACTTGCAAACTCTTTAATGAAGAGTGGCAGATAATGAATGTTATAATCAACGCAGGCAATGCAAGCAGAAGAAACAAATTTATGAAAATGAGTCCTTTTGATTAGACTTTAAACATGGAGTTTCGGATTGAAATACAAATGATGCAGAACTGATGTTTGATAGTGAGAATGTGAAATTAGTACACAGAAATTGTGAATTAGAAGTGGCAAAGAAAAGAACTACAGAGTTGGATTGAAAATAAAATATTTGAACAAATTCCTGATAATGGGAAATCAAAAGTATATACAAAATGGATCTGTACAAATAAAGAATGTCCTAGGAAAATAATTTTTAAGACAAGTCTGATAGCAAAAAGCTTTCAAGATAGACGTGATTCCTCAACATATTACAAAGTAAGTTTTATGGTTGGCATTGTAATATCTTCAAAGAGATGGATTTGTAAATCAATTGATATTAAAACTACTTTCCTGCAAGAAGAAACATTTGATAGACAAGTTTACCTGTTTCCTCATTCAGAGATTAATATACCATAAAAAATTAGATTTGAAAGCTGTCAAAGTTCATCTATGGATTGTCATATACCATTTAGGCATAGTATTTAAGTCAGAAAGCAAATACTAGCTGGGCCTACATCTTTGAAAGTATGACCAGGTCTTTTTACACAGTGTTTTAATTATATATCGTATAGTACAGAGTATGTCCCAAAATTGATATAACTTAAAATGTGAATATCTGAGTAACTACATATCTCAGGCAAACAAATTAAATAGGCTTCATGTTGAACAATAAAAGATTTATTTATCAAAATTCAAACAAGATAGTCAAAGGGTTGTAGATTTTATAACTGATTTCACAAATCTTCAACCACCTGTGACATGACACACGTCAAGTCAGTAGTTCAGCTCCTGCTGAACATGCTATAGCATGTCTTGTGTAACATTCTCCAGTCCCTCAGTGTCGACTTACTCAATGAGAAGATGGATTGGGCATGCCAGTGATAATGACAGTGTGCTGTTGAAATGACCATCAGGTTCACCTGACTTGACACCTTGTGATTTTTTTTTTCTATGGTGCTATGTGAAAGGAAAGGTCTATATCCCCCTCTCTTCCTACATGCCTAGAGGAACTTCAGCAGGTGCTGGAGAATGTTATGCAAATATGTTACAGTGTGTTTGGCAGGATCTGGACTACTGATTTGATATGTCATTAACGTCGCAATGTCATAGATATATTTTATTAAAATATTTAATTTTTCATGATATTAAACAATAAAAATAGCCATTGCTTGTTTCTTCTAATTTCAGTTTCAAAACATATTTTCAAATTTTGGAGGAAAAGTGCATTGTTGTAACATTAATGTTGTCAAAACATGACAGACCATGTATGTTTCCTTTATTAATTTTTTTAAAATCCATTTCAGTGAATTTCCTGTCTTTGAGACAAAAGACTGTGATAATTGTTAATTTGTTAATTATGTTCAACAATTCCTGATTGAATAAAAAGGCACTCAAACATGCTACATTTGATGAATGAAACTGTTTTCTTTTCTTTCTGTTTTGGCAATAATTGATGCCAATCCCTGGTATTGACAATCTTATCACAATATGATACTTAAGCAAAACTGTCTACTGACACCAAATTATTCTGATATCCAGGATAATTGTTTTCAATCCTCTACCATATGTTTGTTTATTTTTCTTGAGATAGAGATTTTCACACATTGGTGAATCTTCTGAACTCCAGAGTATTAGATATTTATAGATCTTATTTCAGAAATATGATATTTCCAACAACATGTGGGGACTGTTAGATTTGTTTTCCCCCTCAACTAGTAATTAAATAAATCCATTTTTTTTCCATTTCTGGCCAGCAGTGTTAAATTTATTTTCCTCTATTTCACTTGTAAAATGTTACATGCTTCCTAGAGATTAAATATCCCAGTCCTTGCACATGTAAAACAAGTGTCTGATAAATTTGATGGACCATTTTATGGTTGACAACATTTAACAGCCTAAAAAAGACATTATTATTATTATTATTAATGATAACATTAGACAATGGAACATTTCAGAGCAAAAAGACTCCCCATTTTATTTTTCTATAAATCTACTCTTGTGACATTGTCAGGATAGTTTATGTGGCTGGACATATGGCTGTAAGCATGTGGTCCTAAAACTAACTCATAATTGTCACAGTGGTTTAAGAGGGTGTTTGGCAACTGTTGTTACTCAGGAGGGGACCAAGCTGGTTGCATTGTCACATTCATTTCCACTGCTACTTTTGGGATCAATATCTTAAATTTGGTCTGTCTCTGATTCTTGATGAAAAATCAAATTAGGTATTTTTTCATTTGAAGAAAGGTTTTTTTCTCTTGTTGTTAAACAGCACAATGCATATAGTTTGAACTGACTGCTTTTACTAAACTATGTAAAACAGGTGTCTAATGAATTTGATGGACCCTTTTGGGTGACAACATTTGTTCAACAACCTAGAAAAGAACTTGGATTATTACTATTGATTAATTATTATGAATGGTAACATTACACTATGGAACATTTCAAAACAAAGATTCCACATTTTATTTTCCTATAAATCTACTCTTGTGACATTATCAGGATAGTTTATTTGGTTGGATATATAGCTGTAGGTCTAGTAACAAGGTTAAGTCATGAGATATCCCAATTATTTAAATGTAATTAAAGTTCATAATCTTTATGCTTACATTTATGATGCTGGATTGGTGATGTTCCTCGTCACAACTAGAGCCATATACTGTTTGACAAGCATATACTTGGGCATATCCCAAATTCATATATTTGTCTTGTATCATGGACTATATTTGGTAAGCACCTGACTCTGTAACTGGACAGACCTTCCTTTTTTCCATCGATAAAAGATCATATTTTCATCAGAGAAAATTGATACTTTCATGATGCTATGAAATTAACAGGTCTCTTACTTTTTAGCTGTGTATAAAGAAGGCATGAAAAAAAATGCCAATTATCCTGTTTCTCTTTATTGGTAATCCACATGGATAAAACGCATCATGTATCTGCATGCATCCACACAAACTTTTTCATAGTGCTCACATATATTACACTTAGATCTAGGCAAAAGGGTAGTGGGAGAGGTGAAAGCTTTCATTGGAAGCACAAGGCCAATCCATAGATAAATAATTCTTTAATTTTTTTTTTTATGGGTACTATGCAAGTTGTTATAGAACTTTACAACAGCAATCCAATTTTGGCTGCTAATCAGGAAAACTCAAAAGAAAATAAAAAAAAAGTAATTTTCTCACCTTCAGGCATCTAAAAATATGAAGGATTGCTGAAAAGTTCTCAACCTAAACATGAAAAAAAACTACAAAAACTTCTGTTTGGTAAGATTGTGCAAAAGTGACTTAAGGAAAGATTTGTCCTGTACTCCTGTGTGTGTGTGTGCGCACATACATACACATACACACACACACACACACATATATATATATATACAAATTTGTGTATTTGGGCAGAAATGCCTCTTTTATATAAGTTTCATTAAAAACAACTGACAAGGTACTGCAGTTAATTTTTAAAAAAAAAATTTTCTTGTGTTCTTATAATTTTGTTCTTTTCTAGACATAAATTGTGTAGAAATTGTCCAAATGTG